CGGGAGCCGGAGCCCCGTGGCCAGCTGGCTGGATGTGGGCGGGGGGGCGGGGGTTGCTCCGCCTCGCCCAGCTCAGCCGCCAGAGCCCACAAACACTTTCTCTTTTCTTTGACTCCGTTCCCACCAGCTGGTGGGAAAGTGCAGCCGGGAGCTGGACTAGCGTTATCTCCGGCCCGCTGGCTGCCCGGCCCGTCCCCCAGGCTGCACACATGGCCCCGGCCTCGTGATAAGGGCATGACAGAAGGGGAAAAACTCTCCCTCGTATCTCTCTGTCACTGCTTTTCCTCCCAGCGCACAGCCCATCTGATAGGGAGAGCAGATAACGCCGTAGCCGTTGGTCCCAGAGCCTGTGCCTGGCCAGTGCGAGCGGAGTGCAGCGGGAGGGAGCACAGCAGGGCCCATGTGTGCTGTGCAGCGGGGCGTCAGGCGGGATCTCGAACGCGGGCTGGCCGCTTGCTCCAGTCCTTCCCCCGCACGTGCCGCGGGGTTGCCGAAAAGCCCGTTAGAGACGTTGTAGAGACTTTCTGTTTTCGGTGGGCAGGCCCCGCTGCGCCTGGGTGCGCGATGAATTCTCAGGGTAGCAGCCTCTGGGACTTCAGAGCTCGTGGGAGGGGATTTGCTCCAGCGCGTTTCAAACAGGACTGGTTTAAAACCAGCGTTGAGTTCCCAGCCGACACGTGTCTTGGCTTTCGGCGGAAACGACCCGCGGGCTGGCTAACCTGCCCAGGCGGCGCTGGGGTGATCAGACATCAGCCCAGACGCATGCAGCTGCGTGACAGGCGTCCCAGCTCCCCAGCTGCAAACAGGGTGACCGGATTCGACACAGAGCGGGAGTGGCGGATACTCCACTTGCGGATAATCCTCCCAGTTGGTCAGGCCTCTCGCTAGGGCGTGAGGAGGCTTGTCCCAGGCACCACCGGCTGAAAACGCAACCTGGGGTGATCAGACATCAGCCCAGACGCATGCAGCTGCGTGACAGGCGTCCCAGCTCCCCAGCTGCAAACAGGGTGACCGGATTCGACACAGAGCGGGAGTGGCGGATACTCCACTTGCGGATAATCCTCCCAGTTGGTCAGGCCTCTCGCTAGGGCGTGAGGAGGCTTGTCCCAGGCACCACCGGCTGAAAACGCAACCATGGTTGTGCACAC